CCAGTAATGTTCAGCCGCTTTATGTCATCAGGATAAATAGGGTCAAACTTCAGGCAGCTTCTGGAGATCCTAGGAAGAGCAGAAAGAACTCAGTGGCTAGAATAGGGAATCCTATACATTATCACGAGCCTTGAAACAGGATCACCCAGACAATCATTCAAGATTACCATTCTTTCCCAAACAAGTGATTTTAAATCAGAGTCCAAGAATAAGTTCTTCCAATATGGGAGTGGTAGGATGGAAAAGAAAATTATTAAGGTCCAAGTTAAATTAACAAGTTTATAAAAGTAATGTTAAAGCCAAACAGCCAGAGCTTAGAGTAGAATACATTTCCAGAAACTCTGGAGAATTACCAGGCCAAAGTTAATCCTGCTAGCTAGAGTGGCTAATGCATTTTGCAACATGATTTTTGCATCATCTATGTACATACTATTCTGTGGGGCAATACCAGCAAAACAAAACAAAGTACTGATGGAAGAGAATATTTGTAGCTCAGGGTCGAATTGTGAGGTCCTTGGTGCTCTCCGAGCTTGGTTGTTTTCTTGTAGATGTTTCATCACCAAACTAGGAAACATCACCAATGCACTTGGTGGGAAAAGACAAGATGGCCTTAATCTCAGTAGCCCTGCTCAGCTAATGGTATTTCCAGTTAGCAGAAACAAAGTTTGATGATTGCAGTCAGAAGCATCTGCCCATGCACAGCTCCTGCAGTGGGGAAAGCTTGTTTTCCCCCCTACCTTGACTTCTAAAAATAGTTATCCCTGTTATCAAATCTACCTTTGGCATTTCCAAAAACCAACAGTCTAATTTTAATACAATTATATCTTTATACATATGTGTATGTGTGTGATGAGACACAAAAAGGGCTTTTGAATAGATAGTAATCACTCACAGCAAGTGCTAAATGAATTCGTTCTATCAGATTTTTGTATTGCTTTACAAAATGCTTTTAGTTACAAAACTCGCACTATATTTATTTTTAGACGTGACTTTTCTAACCTATATCATTGCTATGTTTTTATAGGGAATTATTCCCAGTTACACATACCTTATGTGCAACTTTTTCTGAACATTTGGAGATACATTTTAAGTCAAATACACAATAAGATAGCTAAGAAATAGATTAGAAGAAGCTCTAGGATTAGGGAAGCTATGCCTCCATTCATTCTGCAACACAACATGTTCTGGTA